CCCCCCCTGGTCCCCCCCCCCCCCCCCCCCCCGCAATCCTGGCCACTGCAGGCAGCCCATAGTGCAGGTGGGACAGACCAAAGCCCTCCATGGAGGGGACTTGCACCACCATCACCCCTTTTCCCTGGGGCAGTGTCAGCCGATGGTCAGGGCAGTGTATGTGTGTGTGTTACACCCAAGTCTTCAACTGCTGAGACACAAGGTCCCGTTGCAGCGGGCAGCCTAGGGAAGGCTGATGGGTGCCCCGAGAAGTTTAACCTCCGTGTCTTTGACCGCTAGGACCGGGATCCCTTCGCGGCGGGCAGCCAACAGGCCGACAGATGCCCCAGAGTTTACAGGAATAGCTTATTACACCTCAGATTTTGACTGCTAGGATACATGATCCCTTTGCAGCGGGCAGCCTAGGGAAGGCTGAGAGATGCCCCTATAGATCTGTCCTCTGGAAGCGACATGATCCAAATGCCCAGCTCTGCCTGTATCTGTCCCTTAAGACTGGCTGGAGTTCTTTTAAATTGTGCTTGGCTCTGTTACTGAAACTGAAGGAGTCAGGTTAAAACTTAAACTGTTACAGGTTTATTAAAGAAGCTTATAAATCATATGGTTACAATGGCTATTGGTCTATTTCTTAACTGCTAGCAAATATAGATCTTAAAAATGGTTACAAAGAAAATAAAGATAGAAAATAGAAATAATGGTACCAAGTGATAGCTTAATCTTTAAAGAGCTCTAAATCTATGTGTACACTTAAAACAAAGGACACATCCAGGTACAATTTTTACCCCCTTCTGCGTTGCTCAGTCCCAGCGTGTCAGGCCAGGGCCAGTCTCTCAATTCCTTAAAAAAGACAAATACAAGGTGGGTGTTCCGTGGAACCTTGGGAGGCCAATCACCTAACCCGACCAGCAGATAGATGGTAGATTGATGCTCAGAGTAAGTGTGCTGCTGGACCCATCTTTATACCCATAATGGCCCGTATCCTCTTTCTTATCTAAGATGCCAAATTATGTTGGTCCGTCTTTATGATGCCAGTTCTTACAAGGGAGTTTCAACTTAATTTACACTTGCAAGAGAGATAACTAAATTGTGAGTACTGGACATTCTTTACTGGGCAGGAGATTCCTCCCCCAGGACGAGTGTGTGTTCGTATCAATATGGGTTTCAGTCAAGGCAGTTCTCACAGCCTCGAGGTCAACAATTAGCGTATCTCTGTTTACAGCCATCCAGGGTCACAGCAGCCAGCATATCTGGGCCTTCTGTCAAGGCTTCAAAGACTATGCTGATTTTACTGCTCTGTGTGCCCTGTATGCTTCCAGGCAAGCAAAGATGGATGTTACAGGGGAGGGGGGTTCCTGTCTGGCTACAGGCAGCCCATCACCTCCTGCCCCCGCCCTCCCAGGCACCGTGTCCAGAGACTGCCATACCTGCATGAGCACTGCTCTGATGGTGGATCTCCCCACGCCGAACTGGTTTGCCATGGATCAGTAGCTATATGGTGTGGAAAGCTTCCATAGGCTGATGGCCACACACTTGTGGTGGGGAAATGGAGGGCCTCATGTTGATCTCCCCAGCACTCCAGGACAACGTGGTCCCACCGGTCACTGCTGGTGTCCAGATGCCAGATGTGACAGGGTACACTGGCATTCAGGAGCTGCAGCTGCTCTTCCCCGTCCTTCAGGAGGGTCCCGAGGAGGGCATGGGGGTTGGGCTGCAGCAGCTGCTGCGAGGCAGCCTGCAGAAAGTGCAGCCAGGTTTGCAGCAATGTGTCCAAAATGAGCATCATAGTGCCCAGGGGCAGCTCCGGCTCCATGGTGCCGAGTGCTGTGGTGGCCTGAGTCAGAGAAATCAAAGCAGACAGAGAGAAAAATGCTTTGCTGTCCCTCAACAAGGTAAGCAAGCAAGCAGGGAAAGCTGAGAACCGGCTGTCTGGGGGGGTCCCTTTAAGCACAAGCCTCAGATAGCCTCAGGCACAGGGGCAGACTGGCCTGGCAAGACACCAGGAATTTCCTGGTGGGCCATCCCCTGAAGGACGGGCTAAAGGGCCAGCTGGTAGCTACTGGAGGAGGAGGGGGATTGTGATGGGGCGCTGCAGCCCCGCACTTTACATCCCCAATGCTGCACACCAGCCATGTACAGGACACGGTAAGGCGAGGGAGCACATGCGCGGCTTGCTCAAATCCCACACAACATATGAGAGGGGAGATGCCCGGGCATGGCATGATGTCACAGCCCGGAACTTTAAAAGCGCTCGGACCAGAACTTTAAAAGATGCCCGGGCAGCCCAGCTCAAGGCTTGGAAGCAGCTGGGGCCCGATCACAGATTCCACCCCCACAAACTGGAAGGCAGAAGGTAGGTGGGGAGGGGGGAATAGGAGGAAAGGGTGGGAGAGGAAGGGGCTTATGCTGAGGGGAGGGGACAGGTCAGGAGAAGAAAGAGGAAGGCACCACAGGACAGGGTGGAGGAGAGACAAATGCCAGGGGGCCAATGAGGAAAAGGGCAGGAGGGGAGGTGTCAGTGGGAGGAGGGGACAGGGTGATGCTGGGAAAGTAGAGGGTAAAGGCATTGGGGACTGGAGGTTTTAAAAAAATAGTAATCAAATGCTGCTGCAATATAAGCATGTAGTTACAAAAGAAGAAATCTGTGATAGAAAAATAGAGGTTGAATTTTAAATTCCAGAAGACAAGGAAAGAACTCAGGATTATGTTATCACAACCAGATTTTAACCTTTTATCCCTCTTCTGGACTCAGTGTTTTCCTATTATATTTAGGCTCAGTCATGTTGCTTAAATAAAGAAAAAATACAATACTTTCTTTGATTTTTTTCCCAGTGTTTTTCCTTGTTTGGTTCTAGTTAATTAGATCAAACCAGATTTCTAATGAAACAGCAGCACAAGTTTATGATCTGTCAACTCCCTCTAAAACCTCCTTCAATTACTTTTGCAAATTTAGGGCCTCTGTAGAATCCTTTGTTGTGTTAAGTGCATGCCATGTTTTGATCAAAGGCTTTTTTGTTCACAGTAGGAATTCAAACACACCTATGGTAGGCAGATGCAAATTTAGAGGAAAAAATCTTCTTTAGGTTTCCAGCAACTGTCCTAAATTAGGAAGCTGAGTCATCAGTCCTCCTTTTTTAACCAGCTGTGAAGTTGATGGTGATTGTGGAAGAATATTTGAACTTTCACAATGGATTTAGGCCTTTGTTAGGTGTTGCTATGTTATTTCTATAGATTTAAATAGCTAGAATCTAGTGAGCTTTTTTAGATCAGAACACAAGATCCATGAATTTGGCTAGAAATTAATTTCATATCCTTTATATGATTTGAATATAAAGGAATGGCCTCCATTTCCCAGAAACTGGGAATGGGAAACAGGAGATGGATCACTTGATGACTACTGGCTTTGTTCATTCCCTCTGTTTCACCTGGAATTGATCACTGTCAGAAGACAGGCAACTAGGCTAGATGGACCATTGGTCTGATACAATATGTCCATTCTTAGGTTCTTAATTACTTTATTTATTAATAATGTTTTACAACGTGTGCCCCTACATGCTGTGGCAATGATCACCATTGTAACATTTCTAAAAGAATAAAAATGTTGTTAGACATACAATTTCTTGATGTGTTATTGCGAGCTCTCTAAGGTAGATGCTTTAGTCTAAACTGACAAGAGAGATCTCTGCTATCAACTACAACTGTGTATATTGACATTTAGGAAGAAGTAACTTATACTACTCAGGGGGTAGGGTGGCTTATTCACACCCCTGAAGGACATAAATTACACCTATGTAAGTGGTAGTGTAGACGTGGCTGAAGGTTTGATTAGGGTGCAGCCCAGCCATGAGTGAAGAGCAGAATCTCTCTCCATTCTGCTTACCTGAGCTGGAATTCAGGCTTTTGTAAAATTTTAGCTTTTGTGATCTCCCTTCTTCCAGGTGGAGCCAGTAGTAGCCAGGGCTGGGTTCAATGTCTAAGTGTTCTCCTTCATCCATTCAATTCAGAAATGAATTCATCCCCAACCCAGTCACTTGAGAAATTCACACACCACTCTGGGCATCTCTGAAAGGCAATACTGCCACACTCACAAGCACAGAGTTTGAGTGTAGAAAAGGAACCTTTAATAAAAAGGGAGGAAAGTAACTTGGCATTAATTTGGAAAAACACGGCAAAAGTGTTTATGAATAAAAACCATGAGTAAAAGTCCCACCCCAAGTAAAAGTCCAACCCCAGGAACCTTTTTCTGCTCAGGATCTTAATTCCCCCAATCTAAATGTTCCCTTCACATGCCCAAGCCTCTCTGCATCCCACCCATTGTTGTTGCCCTTGGTCAATGCAGATCCAGATGTGCATCCACAGAGTGCAACCCCCGTACTTCAGGTGAGGAGAGGTAAACAGGCATCTTACTTGCTCCACTGGTTACTCACTGGTTACTCACTGTAGTCTGCCACCACTCCGCTCACTGCTCAAGATGGATTTTTGACTCTGGATAAAAACCCAGTACTGCCATGAATGACTTCAGCTTTCAATGATTTCAGCTCCTGACCCAACCACCGTCCAGCCACAAGAAATTTCAGCATCCACTGGAGTACATTTAAAATCATAAAAGAGACTCGTTATGGATTCTATTTTAGCTCATTCTTGGGGAGAAATAGGTAGAACCTTAAGGGCATGAACCTGCTGATTGAAGGACCTGACATCCCCTCTTAACCATCACAGAACTCTGGCAGAGGAATCCTTATACTTATGAGGTTCTGTCAACTGACTTCTTTGAACAGGTCAAACAAAATCTGACCTTTTCTATATTCCCACAGTAATTGCAAACATTGGTGATCACATTGACATAATTTGTGACACCACAACGACCAAATTTATTACGATGACCACAACCCCATTCTATCAGCTGAATATTTAACAAATCTAAGCAAAGCTGGAAAAAGTGTATACTATATAGACACACCCCTCTTCCAACTAGGGATGTATTCCTATTGCATGTAAGGGATGCATTCCTTCAGATCCTGCTGACACCTGCACAGTAATTTAATTAGGACTTGTTGAAACAGTGGAAAAATGTGACCTATGTAGGGGATTTCTAAAAGCACACCAATGTGATGCATTAATTGGTCCACAGAGGTCCTCCTGATTTGCACTAACATTTCCCTTGTACGCTTTAATGTAGTATAGTTTCAAATAGCACTACAGTAAAGTGCATCAACAAGATCTGCAAGCCAATAAGTAAAGGTTGTCCACATGGTGGGTTAATGTACTACATTGGGGCACAACACATTAGCTAGCTTTGAAAATCATGCCCCATCCAATGTAGTACAATAACGAACCATGTGGACAACCTTTACTTTAAGGAACTGGATCCTCCTTCAGAATCCATTGAATTCAAGACTTGATCCACAGTGACAGTGTATTTCAGGCTTAAAATAGACTATTTTTATAGCTATCATATATAGAAGTGATAGCAGCATGATAAATTTGTGTTACATGGCTCCTTAGTGTCCAGCTTTTTCAGACCATTCCACCAGCTCTACATTCTTTAATATAAATTACCATAAAATCTTGAATATAATGCACACTGATGTATAATGCGCACCCTGACTTTTGAATTTTATCATAATGAAAAAACTACACTCCTATATATAATGTGCACCCCGACTTTGCCCATTGTACATGTATTTTATGATACCTGTCATCATAGATACGAAGGTGTCATTAAATATAGTCTATTTGATTGCAAGTCTATGGTATGCCGGCATGTCGTATTTCCTGCCTTTTTGTATTGCCAGTTGATTGCATGTGACTATAGAATACATGGCATTTCGATGCTTTATTACCTTTAAATTTAGTTGATTTTAGTAATGTTTATAATTTATTTTCATAAATGTCAGCAATTAACTATAAACTATTTAATATAAGTAAGATGTAAATTTCATATTACTATTGGTTTTAAATATTTTAAAGCATTCTAGGAATCTCTACCATTTCAGTTGATGTTGACTTCATGTTTACTGCTGTCTTAGCGTGGCACAGCATAGCGGAGATTCATCGTCTTCTGACATGGAACTGCCAAAATCAAAATTTACACAATAATTCCTATATATAATGTGCACCCCAACTTTGACCCAAAAAATTTGGAAAAAAGTGTACATTATATTTGAGATTAAATGGTATAAGCCTAAATTTAGCAATGAGCTCAATGTAGGAGGACCCCTGGACCACCTCAAGCAATGCTACAGTCAATGGGCAACTCAGGACAAGGCATCCACTTTCAAAGAGCTCATCGTAGGACTTGAAGTCTTTGTTATCAAGTTGACAACACTTTATAAAAACTTAATCCTCACCCCAAAAGAAAAATAATCACTGCACTTCAAGTCCAATAATTTTTTTCCAAACCTTCATATTTATATATATCCACACTTTGGTTTATGAAGGAAATTTAATGATCTAGTAGACAGTAAGAACAATTGTAATTGGCTTCATTGTACAAGTATTTCTATTTTAAAAAGCCACTAACAGAAAAGCAATGGTGGGTGTACAGATCTTAATTCCTAGTTTCAGGAATCATTCAAGCAAGTAAACTCAAAACAGCTGCAGTAATTGGCCAAAATTACCACTTTTAATGACACAAATTATACTAGAGTGATGTTTAATGAAAGCTACAATTCCCAGCTTCTATAAGCAAAGCTTAAAACACTCCCCTAAATTATGTCACTGACCTCCCAAGTTTAATATCCTGCTAATCTTTGAAAATTGGAAACAAATGCTTCAATTAAGAGACAATTAATTCAACAACAAACAGATGGCCAGACAAAGCTTCCTGCTACAAATGAATCAAAACTGAAAAGGAGAACACTTGACCTTTACTACATGAAATAAAGAAAGCTTTGTTTCCCTTTTAAAAAAAAGTTATTCTTATGTCATGCCATATGGTGTGACACTTTGAAAAATGAAAATAAAACACTTATTTAAATCACTACTTTGGTCTACAGATTAGGAACTAAGTACAGAAGTCAAAATGGGTGGATTTACAGTGGAGTTTATAGCTTAAGGACTAACAAAGTCACCATCATCACTAAAATATTGGCTGGCCACATAAAGTTATCACGATCTCATAGATTACTAGAACTTGAAGGGATCTTGAGAGATCATCAAGTCCAGTCCCTTGGCCTCATGGCGGGACCAAGCATGATCTATATCATCCCTGATAGATGTCTGTCTATCCTGCTCTTAAATATCTCCAGTGATGGAGATTCCACAACCTCTCCAAGGCAATTAGGAAGTTTTTCCTAATATTCAACTTACACCTCCCTTACTGCAGTTTAAGCCCATTGGTTCCTGTCCTATCCTCAGAGACCGAGGAGAACAATTTTCCACCTCCTTTGACACCCTTTTAGATACCTGAAAACTTCTATCATGTCCCCTCTCAGTCTTCTCCTTTCCAAACTATACAAGCCCAATTCCTTCAGTCTTGCCTCATAGTTCAAGTTTTCTAGACTTTAATAATTTTTGTTGCTCTTCTCTGGATCTTCTCCAATTTGTCCACATCTTTCTTGAAATGTAGTGCCCAGAACAGGACTCAATACTCCAAGTGAGGCCTAATCAGTGCAGAGTAGAGCGGAATAATGACTTCTTGTACCTTGCTCACAACATTCCTATTAATGCATCCCAGAATCACGTTTGCTTTTTTTGCAACAGTGTCACACTGTTAACTCATATTTAGCTTGTGGTCCACTATGACCTCTAGAACCCTTTCTGAAGTACTTCTTTCTAGACAGTTGCTTCCCATTCTGTATGGCTGTGTCCAGACTCAGGGTTTTTTTCGAAAAAAGTAGCCTTTTTTCGAAAAAACTTCACCTGCGTCTAGACTACAGCCGCGTTCTTTTGAAATTAAATCGAAAGAACGCGGCTTTTCTTTCGACGGCGGTAAACCTCATTTCACGAGGAAGAACGCCTTTTTTCAAAAGTGCTCTTTCGAAAAAAGGTGTTCTTGAATGCCAACAGGGCTTTTTAGAAAGAGAGCATCCAGACTCGCTCTCTGCTTTCTTTCGAAAAAGCGGCTTGCTTTTTCGAAAGTTCCACTTGCAGTGTAGACGCTCTTTTTTGAAAGAGGCTTTTTCGAAAGTATCTTTCGAAAAAGCCTCTTTCGAAAGAGGCTTGCAGTCTAGACATAGCCTATGTGAGAAACTGATTGTTCCTTCCTAGGTGGAGTACTTTCCACTGGTCCTTATTAATCTTCATCCTATTTATTTCAGACCATTTCTGCGTTGTGCAGATCATTTTGAATTATGACCCTAACCTCCAAAGCACTTGCAACCCCTCCCAGCTTGGTATCATCTGCAATCTTAATATGCGTACTTTATATGCTATTATCTAAATCATTGATGAAGATATTGAACAGAACTGATCCCAAAATAAATCCTGTGGAACCCCACTTATTATGCCCTTCTAACATGTTTGTGAAGCATTAGTAACTACCCTCTGAGAATGGCTATCCAGTGAGTTGTGCACCCACCTTATAGTAGCCCCATCTAAGTTGTATTTGCTTAGTTTATTTATAAGACAATCATGCAAGACCTTGTCAAATGCCTTACTAAAGTCTAGGGATATCACATCCACTGCTTCTTCCTTCTCCCACAAGATATGTTATCCTATCAAAAAAAGTATCAGATTGGTTTGACATGATTTGTTCTTTACAAATCCATGCTGGCTGTTACCTATCACCTTATTTTCTTTCAGATACTTGCTGATGAATTCCTTAATTACCTGCTCCATCATCTTTCCTGACACAGAAGTTAATCTGATTGGTCTGTTGTTTCCTGGGTTGTTCTTATTTTCCTTTTTATAGATGAGCACTATATTTACCCTTTTCCAGTCTTCTGAAATCTCTCCAGCCTTCCATGATTTTTCAAAGATGATAGCTAAAGGCTCAGATACCTTCCCTATCAGCTCCTTGAGTATTCTAGGATGCATTTCATCACTTGTGACTTGAAGTTATGTACTACATATCCAGGTATGTAGCCAATCACTTTGCACTGGGACTAAAAAGTCCCATTGAAATCAGTGGAAACAGGATTTCAACTGACATGGTTTAGGAAAGATGGCACAGAGACACCCTGCAAGGTATATTTTGATATAAAAATTGATAGATTGTTCCCTCCTCCATTCACTGTTACTTTTAAAATAATTTAACATTCCAGAAAAATGCTACAGAGATTTGAATGGAAATATTTATATAATGTTTGGGAAGGGAAAATAACCCACTCAGAGCTGGGAGTCAAATAGGGGCCTCAAACCATGTCTGCACTGGGAAGGTTTGGTGACAAAACTACTGTCAACATGCAAAAGTCATCAAAACGGAAAACTCACTTTTCTGACACCCTTTGTCTCCATCTTATGGCTATATTGTTAGCTCCACTGTGGACAGAAAGAACAAAGCAATGTGAGTAAGTATCCCACAGTGCCTGGTGTTACCTTCAGTTGCTAAGCACTTTGGGAATGCACTATATAGTGCTAGGGATGTTTTTCACGTTCCTAAAAATGCCATCAGCTACCTCTTTGCTTCCCAGCCCTTCCGGAGATTCCGGCTTACTTTCAAGCCATTTGAATGACAATCCATCTGCTGAGAAAAATCTTGGATCCCAGACTTCTCTCCCACGTTGTGTTCAATGTGCTTAGGACATCATGCATTGCAGCAGAGCTACTTATGCACCTAATAGCAAAGGATGGAAACTCGGATGCTGACAACAATGTGAGTGACATGGACAGCAGTGTAGTGGCATTGCACAGTACATCATCACTTTTTGACTAGGAAACTCAGCACTGACTGGTGAGATCACATTGTCATGCAGCTGTGGGAAGAGTAGTGGGTACAGAGATTTTGGAGGCATAAAGCAATTTTCCTGGAGATGTGTGCTGAGCTGGTGCCTAAACTGCAGTGCAAGGACACCCAGATGAGAGCTTCTCTCCCAGTAAAGGTATGTATTGCCATAGCACTCAGTTGGTGACTCCTGAGTGCTACCATTCAATTGCAGATCAGTTTGGAGTGGGGAAAGTCTACCATTGGGGCAGAATTTATGGAAGTATACAGGGCAATAAATCACATTTGGCTGCATAAGACTGTGACTCTGGGGAATGTGGATGACAGTGGCTGGCTTTACTCACATGAAGTTTCCAAATTGTGGTGGGGGCATTTATTGGTACACATATTCCCATCATAGAACTGCCCCCCATTGCCTTAGAGTTCATTAATCAGAAAAGGTACTTCTTCATTGTGTTTCAGGTGCTTGTGGATCACCACGGGCATTTCACAGACATAAATTTGGGGTAGTCTGGAAAAGCGTATGATTCATGCATCTTCAGGACTTTCTGCTACATGCTGGGACTTTCTTTCTAGAACAGAAAATTACAGTGGGGGATGTAAAAATGTCCAGAGTAATCCTAGGTGTTGTGGCTTACCCCTTACAGTCCTGTCTCATGAAGCCTTTCATAGGACACCTGGAAAGCAGTAAGGAGCAGTTCAACAACTAAGCTGATGCCACATGTTTGTTAAATGTGCCGTTGGCAGACTGAAAGGGAGACTGAGGTATCTCTGTGACAGGCTGGACCTTTTGGAGAATCATATCCCCAATGAGGTGGCTGCATGCTGTTGCTTACATAATTTGTGTGAGAGTAAGTATTTGCCCATGGATAGAACTATAAGACAGTGCCTGGTTGCACAGTTTGACAACCAAACACTTGTGCTGTCAAAGGAGGCCAGCAATATCAGGGAGGCTCTGAGGAAGCATTTTGATAATGAGGGGCACTGGCATTTCTGTGTGTTGGGGTACTTCCCTGCCTCATCTCACTGTTCATCCTGAGTGAGACATTCCCATGAAACCATGGGATAGTAAAACCTTCCACAGGGACCAGAGTGACTGCTGTGGGTTGTGTCACACAATAAACTCATGGAAACCTACATTATATTTGTCTTTATTGATATCTTTCAATCAAGATGCTTGGTGATAAGGGTTAATGTTCAACTGTCAAAAGCACAACTGCTTTGATGGGGAGTGGAAAGTATGCTGGTGGGAAAAAAACCATTACCAAATTATGAAAATGAGTGTGTGGGCATAGAGGGAGGGTTGCTGGATAAATAATTTTGCATGTCCAGCCATGAAGGCTGATATGTGGGTGAAGAGGGATAGTTGGGCTGTGTCCACACTCAGGGGTTCTTTCGAAAAAAGTAGCCTTTTTTTGAAAGAACTTCCCCTGCATCCAGACTCAAGCCGCGTTCTTTCGAAATAATTTCAAAAGAACGCGGCTTTTCTTTCGATGGCGGTAAACCTCGTTTCACGAGGAAGAACGCCTTCTTTCGAAAGTTCCTCTTTTGAAAGAAGGCGTTCTTCAATGTAAATAGGGCTTCCTCGAAAGAGAGCATCCAGACTCACTGGGTGCTCTCTTTCGAAAAAGCGGATTGCTCTTTCGAAAGATCACGTCTAGACTGCAGGCGGATCTTTCGAAAGAGGCTCTTTCAAAAGATGCTTTCGAAAGAGCCTCTTTCGAAAGAAGCCTGCAGTCTAGACATAGCCTTGGTGTCAAAAGAGTTTTACAGGTGCTGCTTGTTTTCTGCATCTTGATAAAACACTTCAACATCTCCTTTTGGTCTTCCAGAGCATTAGCACGTATTCAGTGGCTTCTCTTCTGACTTGCCTCTCCTTAACTATTCTTTGTTCCCTTAGGTCAGGGGTTCTCAAACTTTGTGATACTGTGACCCCCCTCTAAGTTGCTTGCAGGGGAGTCGGGACTCACAGTTTGAGAAACTTGGCCTTAGGCTATGTCTAAACTATGGAGTTTTTGCAGGCATACTACAAAATTCCCGCCGCATCCAAGGAATGCATTTGCTCTTCTGCTTTTTTTTGCAGAAAATGTGCTCTTTTAGGAAGCCTTGTATACCTCATTTTACAAAGCATTTCATGAGGGCTCTGCCAAAAAAGGAAGCTTTTCTTCCATTTGGCCCCATCTAGACTGGGCCAAATGGCGGAAAAGCTTCTTCTGGAAAAGCTACTGGAAAAAGCTAAGCAAATTGCAGAGCACAATTTGCATAGCTTTTTCCGATAAAGCCTTGTAATTTAGACCTATCCTTACTCTGTTTGAAGCTGTCAAGGGGCAACCACCCCTTGGAGACCCCTCAAGACTAATTTCTTTTAATCAAGTGACTTGACCATCACCAAGTCAATTTACAGGATGGCTCAACAGACTCAGTCAGTACCCATGACCTTCTTCTCAGGATATTGTGGCCCAATGACCCAAGTAATACTCTGCTACTCAGAGTAATACAGCCCAGGAGCCTAAGTCCATATTCCAGTCCCTGCTACTCAGGGTAATATGGTCCAATGGCCTAAGTCCATATGCTGGCAAAACTTCCACACACAGGGGTATGTATGGAAGGTATTGGGGAACACAGGCTCTCCTACTCCACTGGGTCCCAGCCCAGAGCCCTGCTGGCACTGGCAAGGTCCACTACTCACTCAGCAGGGAATCCTGCTGCAAAATGCCAATCACTTTGGGAACTAATCCCTGTGCTGGGCTACTTCCTACCGGTATCTGGCAGATGTCTTCTCCATATGCTCACTCTCAGTCTGCAGTTTCTCTGGTAGCCACACTTGACCTGGCTGCAGCTCTGTGGTCTGGCTGCGCTTCCACCTCTGGAGCTCTCTCCGTGCCTCCTTCTCCTTCAGCAGTCAGTCCTGATTGATTGCTCCAGAGGCTTTTATATTCAGTCTCCAGTTGGAACATGCCCAGCAAGGCTGTGGGGGTGAGGCTCTCTCTGCCAGCTGGGCCAGTGTAACTCCATCAGCTTCAGTGTGGGGTTGATATGCGCCATCACAGAAGCATTGAATGCTGCAAGACATCCTTGTCCATGTCCTCCCTTGTCCTTTGAGGTTTTTTCCTTAGTTGATGGAGTTTGTCTGTATAGGAACACACATGACTTCTCGAGGTCTGGTCTGGAAAACTAACTCCTAACAATAGAGTGACTGTACTTCTCCTGATAAAGACTGTAACATTTTATTAACATGCACATCTCTGAACAATGCAGGCCACTTTTCTTGTTACCCTAGAAGCAAGCACAGATCTCTCCAGACACTTTGACCATGGTGAGTTTTAAAGGTGTGTGGGGGGAAGTGGGAAGGGAGTGTTGGGCATGGGTCCCCAAGAAAGTACAGTCTGTGCTGTGCAGCAAATAATTTGCAATAATTCTACACTTGTATACAGCCTGCCATTTGTCTGATTGACATATCCCTGCTGAAAATTAACAGACAAACGTCAGCTCTGCTTCTAGATTCGAGCTGGGGGTATCCTGCTCCTTATGCAGCCAAATTCCATGCCATCTTAAATCCAGCAGCATAGTCTGAGGAATAGTTTGGGAGAGTGCCATACCACAGTGGTGGGGAAATGGCAGCCCTGCTATGGAATTGATTGAGAAAAATGGTAAGTATATGAGGTAAAACAAGATTCTATTGATATCTCTGTGTATATGGATGCTCTGTTTGGACATAATTCAGATCCAGGATGTGCTTAGCCAGCTCACAGAAGTACAGCCTCTGGTCGCTCCACACCCAGAGCCACAGCTGCAAGATCAATGTCCAGCACTACTTTCGTATGTCCCAACCCCACCCTGCTGCAATACATAGCAACTTGTTGCCCTGCATGGTCACTGTCTCCCTTCCCACCCCTGCCCCACTGCACTAGAGCAACTTACCACCCCACATGGCCACCATCCACAACCCTCCCCACCACCTGCACAGCAATTTACCCTTGTCTCTTCCCTTGCTTGCATCTTTTCCTTGATTCATGACTCATGTCCAGTTGCTGAGAATCCTCACAAACATGGGTACTGGAGAATAATTCCTCATTGCCTAGTGCATAGATTGAGTACCTTCTCATCTGCTTCCATCTCCTCATCAGTAACTTCTGTCTCCAGCCTAACTTCTGTTTCTAACTCTGTTATGGGAAGTATCCACATTCTAGTTGGGTGTGGATGTGGGGTCCCCACCAGGATTGCATCTGGTTCATTATAAAAAGGGCATGTTTTGGGTGCAGTACCAGACTGGCTGCTTGCATCCTTCAGCTTCTGGTACACCTGCTGGAGTTCCTTCATGTTGGCTCTGCATTGTAGGGCATCTTATAACTCTTACCCATGTAGCAGTCCAGGACAGCGATACAGTAAATTCAGGATTCACTGGTGTGGCATCTTGACAGATCTTCTGCTCTGTTAGTGATGATAAACATTCAGCTGCATGTGTTTTTGCATGCTCACTTAGTATATCGTGCCAGATCTGTGCAGGTAGCTAGCATAATAGACTTTACAAGAGCCCCCAAAGACCACACACTCAGATAAAGTAAGAAGGCACCTGAGTCAGGTTTATTGTTGAATGAAGTATGTCAATAGTTGTTGGTAGCCAGATGGCCTTTGAGCGCCTATGTATTTGTACCTGGGACATGGCTCAATTGATAGTATGTCTTTCACTATTGCCCACTAGGCCAGCCAAAGAATTAAGTTGAGGTACCCCAATATTTATAGACAGAAATGAACAATCTATGATACACACTGTATGTATCATTTTAGCCATGAATGACACATTTGGTACCTCCGCTCAGGGGCGGATATAGGGCAGGGCGAGTGGGGAGGCCGCCCTGGGCCCCGCACTTCAAGAAGCCCTGCGCATGCACCATGGCAAAGGGGGGCCCCATGAAATTGGGCTGCCCTGGGCCCCGCAAAATGGTCATCTGCCCCTTCCTCTGCTTGTACTTTCCTCCAAAGCATTTACCAACCTTTTCTATGCTTTCACTCGTTTCAAACTATTTTATCATGTACTCAACTGGTTGTCCCTGTACTGTCCTGATGTCTAAGAAAATGCTTTGGGCCACTCAGAAAATAATAACAGAAAATAAAAATAACCACCCCTTTTGTCATGTAGCCCAGTGATCAGAGCACACACCAGGGATGTGGAAACATTTGCTTTTGGCACAGCCTATCTATTATTCATAGTACAATTCTTTCTTACTTTGGTTCAAGCACCAGACCCATGCTTTAGGCTCGTTCTTTCTCCTACATTTCCCCACTTTTTGTATTTTTATGGGATGGATGTTTACCCATCATCCCAGCAAAGCATAATGCATGGACTGAAGGTGATTCAGTGGGCTAAACACCATTATGTGACCATCTTGCTTTACTGTTCACACAATTATGCCCCATCTGCCCCTTAGTCTGCACATTTTAACGGTATGTAACCCTTCTGCCAGGTAGGACTGTCAGCAGCCAGAGACGGGTTCAATATCTAGGGGTCCATCTCATACAGAACCAGCTTGAGCTCCCACGCAGTAGCCTGGGAAATTCACACACCCCTGGATGCCTCTGAGAGGCAATGCTTCCCCACTCGCAAGCACTGAGTCTGAGTGTGGAAAAGAGAGAGAATTCACATGAAAAAGAGAGAGAAGTCACATGGTTTTAACTTGGGAAAATACCACAAACAGAGTTCGTAACCATCCCAGCTCCAAGAGATTGAATATTGTCCTTTGCCTCTCAGGCTCACCAGTTCAACAATGTAAGGGTTTTATTCACTTACCCAAACTTTCTCTGTACCCGACTTCAAATGCCCCACTTACAGCTCTTGTCCAGTCAGTGCATACCCTGACACATCACCCTGATGACTCTACTCATTGAGCCTGAGCCCATGCCACCTTTTAGCTGCTCCTGTGGTCCGCTTGCTCCGCCTCCCACCGCACCTACTGGCTGTCCA